CATTATGTACAATACCTGATCTGTTTGAGGATCCATGCCAGGGCTTGACACTGAATAACTGATGAGAGTAATTCAATTTTTGGGGTTTAGCAATGTCACTTATCAGAAATTTGGTTTGTTTTCTCACAACAAAATGCTGGCAAATTGGATATTGGCAAAATATGATATTTGTTGTAGCCCTACTCAAGAGAATAGTGTTGAGCATGCATGTTTTAACTATTTCAGTTAGTGTCTAAGGTTTATATTGAAGTTCTTTGTTGCATATCATAGTGTTGGTTCTCAAAGGTGGGCTTCGTTGAAGTAACATGAGATGTTGACATGCTATGGATGATTTTGTATCTTCACTAAAATAAATTGAAAAGCATGCACATCACATTAGAATGTCTTTCATAATAGCATGTGAAAGAACTTTTACTAAATATGTAAACTTTCAGAGCCAAAAAATGTATTCCTATGGTTCATTCCATGTTAAACAACTCAAGAAAAGGGAAAATTGGACTGACCCCCTCCAATTTTGATGAATTTTTTTGGACTTGTTGGGTTTGTGAGAAACTAGTCCACACTAAATTTCATCTTCCTAGATTAAATGCCTTTTGAAGTACTGTGATTTGAATATTGCCAAAAAAAATGTTGATCTCTGGTCCAGTGGTCCTCAAGTGTCTATAAGTTTTTTCCTAATTAGAGAGAGAGAGATGTTGGGAAGAGGATGGAGAGAAGGAAGGTTTTAAAAGAATTCTCAGAATTTTGACTGCAAGGCAGTGGAATAAAAGAAAGAAGGAATGAAATGACCCTACTTTCTATCGATTTTCTTACCTTGTGTTCTGGCGGAATTAAAGAGTCGCCAACACAGCGAGTCCGCAAGTCCTTGACAGCTTGTGGCGTTAGACAGGTGACAGGACAAAACATTTTATTTTAACATTGATCCTATGAAGCTGGCGATTAAGACTGGGCAATGCCCGCAACTTGTAGGAGGCCAGATCCACTGGCTTTATTGCAAATAAAAAATATTAATCAAGTTGGTATATTATGATATATTATTGTATTTTATATTATGAAATATGATACAGGGTGACTCACTTGAAAGTAGCCCGGCAAATCGTTCCATCTTGTTCGCTGTTGGAGGCCGTCTTTCGTCATAGTTGCGATAGTTCGTTGTGGTACCGTAGGAAATGCTTAAAGACTCATGCGGAATCCTCCAGTGATTTTGTAGACGGTCATTCGTAAACCTTTCAAAATTCTTTGGCATGTCGACCTGGAAAGTGGCACGACTCTTCTCTGTATGCAATTTAGCTGAGATCATTTTCACTGAGGTTACTTTGCCGTGCGTCATTTCGCTGCATATACATTTTCACTGTCTTCCCTTTCCCTGTAGCACCCTTTTCACCGTGGGGCTTTTTCATGTAGGTGCGACTTCTTCCGTTTTCTTTCCGTTTTCTTACATACCTCATCTCATTCCTCTCCATTCCCAAGCCTGGCACAATGTATTCCAAGGTGGTCTGGGAGGTACTCACCCAACACCATGGAAGTTTCTCAAGTATTTGATTAAGGAGCAGGGACGCCAGGAGGTCCGAGTAATGCAGGCACTCTCTGCCCATCCTCAGCCTCGGAAAAAAAAATACAAAGCAGCTGATGTTCGCCTCCTGACGTTGGTTGAACAGCAGCAGTCAAGGGATGTCCTTTCATGTTTGCGCGGTATCGCGCACTATCTTCAGTTCTGAACTTATTCTGACAATCCCCCTATTTTTCTCTCGAGGGTTTTCCTATTATGTGACCATTACTAACCTGTTTTATTTCAAATATCCATAATTTCCAGGATGATTTGTGCAGCGAAAGTGGATGTAGTGAAAAGGGTGTTCCAGTGAAATGACATACAGTTAATTGATGCATGCGAATAGATTGTCTACACTGAAATGTCGGCAGTCATTAGTCTTACATAGAAATGATTTGCAATGAAATGACGTGGAGCCTCCTGGAAATCCCAGACTTTTGAGACAATCGACGTGTTGACCGACTGGGGCTGTCCTCGATTCGTCTTCGCTAGTCATGCACGTTTCCTCATTCCGCTCAGTTCGAACGCGACTTGGCGTCTCATCCCGTACGGAACCAGTTTCCCGCCACTTTGCCACTAACTTCTGTATGGCAGGTTTTGCTGGCACTCTCACATCGGGATACTTCTTCACGAAATTTTTACAACAAATCTTGTAAGATTCACTTTCGATGTAACTATCAGTTATAAATATCCGCTGCTGTAATGAAAACCGCATTGCTCACAAAACTGACTGCTTTGTGGTCTTCGAGAAACACAAACGCGTACCGTTCTGGAAGTTTGAAGCTGGACTAACCCCTATCACCCTACCTGCCGACACATGAGTCATGACCGCATGAGTCTTTAAGCATTTCCTGCGGTATCGCTACAAACTATCGCAACTATGGCGGAAGACGGCCTCCAACAGGAAACAAGAAGGATGACTTGCCGGGCTACTTTCAAGCGGGACACCCTGCATCACCCTGTCTCATAAAACATCACGATATATGTCATAATTTTGTAATGAGTTATATATTATAATTAGGTATAGCTATGTATGTTTAGCAAAACATTTTAAAATACTGCTTATCGCTCTGACCATCTCAAGTGAAAAGCTCATGTACAAATTTCTGCATAAACCAGATACATCCAGACTTTCCTAACGCATTCTCTGCATATTTTGATCACTCACTGCCACATTGCTGTTTGTATCTTTTTATCCCACGGGAGTCCCGAATTGAAATTTGCTGTATCCAAAATTGGGAATTGAGAAAAAAATTGGGAATGTCTGGTTAATTTTTTGAAAAAATAAAATTGAACTTTATTTTCATGCTAACTCCATGAAACACACATAGTATGAAAGAGCTTGAAAATAACACTAATTTAAATCTCTCTACGTTAATTAGAGTAAAAACTTATTGACCCTTGACTGATGATGATGGCCAGAAATCGACAATTTTTGGCAATATTCAAATTTTAGTACTTCAAAAGAGCAGGAAGCTGAAATTTAGTGTGGCTTAATTTCTCAATGGACCTTACAGGTCCACGAAATTTCATCAAAGTCGGAGTTGGTCGGGTATATTGCTGCGTTGATTTTACGTGAATTGATAGTCATCGCACTGCTACTTCTTGCATTCTTAGGGTAATTAACTGGATAAAAAATGGTTTGTTTAATAGTCAGCTTACTACATTATCTTGTCCTTATTGGAATCAACTTGACCTTGTTCAAAGGAAATCGAGGTGTTCTCCATGTATATGTCATGCTTAGTGCAACTCAAGAGCAGATTCTTCTTAAGGAGTACAAAGTATCCCCATGAATAAGCGAGTTTTTTGCAGTAGCCAATTGCTTCTATGTAGAAAATGTAACTTCTGTCTGACAGTCCCAACTGAGGCATATGTGTTCTCACTCCTGACATGTCTGTTAACTTTGGAAAAGTCCCTTCGTCATGAAACCAACTGCTGATTTTTTCACGGGCAAGAAGTTATGTAAAAGAAAGAAGCGTCTCTGCAAAGGGAGGAATGGGATGTTCGTCAAAATACAGGATACGGGAGATACTTTTGCTTGCCCTACATATTCTATAGATGCGATTCTGTTACTCTGTGAGGCACGACCAGGAAAATTACTTTTGCTTCCGTGCAGACCTGATGAGGAGATGGATGCTCGTTAGTAAATTGAGTGATATGAATCCTTTTTTTTTTCTTCTACCTTTCTGCTCTTTATTCTAGTTCACAGAGATAATCCTGAAGAGGTTGCTGTTTGACTGCTCTACAACAAACATGACCTATTTGAAGTTTTTGTCGGGTTGTCATATTCAATATCTTGCCGTATTATACAGGGTAATTCAAAAAGAAGATAACACTTTCACATGTTAATGAAGTAACCAGTGAGCCTACAATGACGTGATTTGTATCAATTGTTAGGAAAACTCTCAAAGTTCGTTTGTAATTGATGCGGAAAAGTGTTTCGCGCTTGCGCGGCCAGGGGAGACCGTGTTGCAAAAATGGCGACTCCACAATAAAATTCTCGAATTCGGTTCACATTCTCTTCCGATACACAAGGTCGACCTGTGCTTTTCCCTTTGCAGATACAACCTTTATCTTCACACTGCCGACACCAACTATAAATGGTCTTCCTATCTGGTGGATCAATTCTGAAACGTGTGTGGAACAGCCGTTGCACAGTTGTTACAGAGTTGGTCTTTGCAAACTGCAGGACACAGAATGCCTTTTGTTGTGGAGTCGCCATTTTTGCAACATGGTCTCCCCTGGCGGCACAAGCGCGAAACACTTTCCCGCGTCAATTACAAACAAACTTTGAGAGTTTTCCTAACAATTGATACACGTCACGTCATTGTAGGCTCACTGGTTACTTCATTATAAACATGTGAAAGTGTTACCTTCTTTTTGAATTACCCTGTATTTAGAATTTCAATTTATTCGCATTCAGAACGAATAATACGAGGGTCACCCCAAAAGTAATGCTCCCGATTTTTTTTCTGAGTAATGCTTAATTGCAATTGAAATTGGCGGTTTGCCAGCATTGACTCCATTGTTTTCCACCGCTGCTGGCGAAGTTTCGTGGTTTCACCCCAAGGAGGATATAAGTGCACACATAGTTCAAAATGGCCGATATGTCAGAGTCACGTTTTAAGCAGAGAGCTGTGATTGAATTTTTGACTGCAGAAGGGGAAGTGCCGATAGTGATCCACAGACGTCTCACAGATGTGTATGGAGAAGATACTGTCAGTGTGCATACAGTGAGAAGGTGGGTCACGAAGTTCAAAAGTAGTGATACGTCTCTGACTGACAGGCCACGAAGCGGGCGGCCAGCAACGGCAGTCAGTGGCGTAACTATGTAATTTGCCGCCCGGGGCGAGTGACTGTTACTGCCGCCCCCTTGCTAATTGTTATTTTCACATGCACACACGTTTTACTGGAGAATGAGATTTATTAAATATTTCTGTTAAGAATCCAGGTACGCCTGGATCACCTTCTCTCTCGATTCGTGAGTGCACGGGTGCACCAAGGGGACGGAGAACAACAGGGCGATCCGGGACACCACCTTTGGGGACACCTGAAACGGAAAGAATTTCACGAGAAAGTGAAGCAAAACGCATCGGGTGAAACAAACCCGTCACCACCGTGCCGAGAACGAAGCAAAACAGAGCGAAGAAGACAGATAGTCCTGGAGTTCTAAGGCAGCCAGAGAGGCTAGTCTAAGCGAGCAAGCATATTTACCCTGTATTTCACAAATTACAAGAAAATGAGGATACCCATTGCAGCATGCCTCAGTCAAACCAGTGAAGAAGACAGACAGCCTAAAAGAGTTCCCAGTGATACCAAAGTCAGGAATCACGATCACACTCAAAGTTGAAATGAAGAAGAATGTACATATATTTGAGTACAGTTCCAAGTCCACCAAGTCGTGTTCTCTTTTATGGCAACAAATACATCGACTGCAATCCAATAGACTTCTGCAATGTACCTTCCATAGAAAAAGGTTCCAACCCAAACCCTGAAATGCACGAAAAACCATCGACGTGCAAAGAAACACCCACCTGCGAGCTTCGCAGCGGGCCGAGGAGCACGGCCAGGAAACTGGGATCGGCCAGGTTCTCCACGGAGGCCAGGCACTCGTCGAAGGTCTTGCGGAGGAAGCTGAGCCACTCCTCCGTCTCCACCGCCTTGCTGTCCCCGAGCCCGAAGCTCCTCAGGGTCAGGGCGCCCATGCTCGCCTCGATGGGGTCCAGGGTACCAGGCACTCGTCGAAGGTCTTGCGGAGGAAGCTGAGCCACTCCTCCGTCTCCACCGCCTTGCTGTCCCCGAGCCCGAAGCTCCTCAGGGTCAGGGCGCCCATGCTCGCCTCGATGGGGTCCAGGGTCGCGGCCTCCACCAGGCGCTGGTTCCCCGCCGCCGTCACCGTCCCCTCGTCCTCCGACGCCCGCTCCGTCTTCTCGTCCTCCTCCGTCTTTCCTCCGTCGTCCGACCGAGCGGCGGGCGGCCCGTCCGTGCGTTGCGCCCGCAGGTCGACCACTTTTGCCATGGCCTTTACCAAGATCCTGGAGGGGAAAAAAATTGCTCGGGATGATCGCTTCGGTGTAGAAAAAACAAGTTGGGCAAGCCCAGTCCAGTAGTGGGCCTCCTCTCGGTTAAGGAAACCCTCACTTTGTAACCTAATTGAGCAAAATGCCATCTCTTTCCGGTCTTCGACCATCAAATGCCTCACGTCTCGTGTATATTCGGGAAACATAGGCAAACGGTGCCCATGAAACGGTGACGGGAGGATGGAGGGCTGTGCGTGGTTGGATCCATCAGCCACGAAGGTCGGTAGGGAACCGACAGCACTAGTTGCTGACACGGCGCCGCGGCCAAAGCCTGGGTCGTACGCGCATGCGCATCGTGGACCAGAACCTGAAGGAGTGGCGCAACTATGTAATTTGCCGCCCGGGGCGAGTGACTGTTACTGCCGCCCCCTTGCTAATTGTTATTTTCACATGCACACACGTTTTACTGGGGAATGAGATTTATTAAATATTTCTGTCATTCAGGACTGATTCTCAGCACAAATAATGTAATCAAAATCAATTCCTACAAACGACTGCAATCAAAATTCAGCCCTTCTTGATTTACTGGCTGAAAAATCTTTAATAACTTCGCTGAAATCAATGGAAGAAGAGACTTGACGTTCGATTGACAGGATAACAAGATTTGTAAGTCTTTCTTGAGTCATTGTAGATCGCAGGTACGACTTAATCAACTTCATTTTGCTGAAAGATGACGTTTGCCGCCCTCTGAACTGAGGGCGGCAAACGGGAAAAAATCGCAAAATCGCAAAAATGGGCATTTTTCCCGTGGGCTGCAAAATGGGCAAAATGAAAATTTTTTCCGAAATTTTGCTTCTTTGAAAGAAAAATTTTTTTGAAAGGCTACTTTGCCGCCCTCTGGACTGTGGCGCCCGGGGCGACCGCCCCCCTTGCCCCCCCCCCCCCTAGTTACGCCACTGACGGCAGTGACTGATTCCAACCAGCAGAGGGTTGATGAATTGATATGGGATAATCGGCGGATCACGCAAGAGGAATTGAGCCATATTGTCGGCATTGGTCACCCTGCTGTCGAATCCATCATCATTAACCTTTGATACAGCAAGGTTTGTGCTAGGTGGGTACCGCGCATGCTTACAGACGTGCACAAGGTAGAGAGGAAAAGAATCCCCTCGGAACTTCTTCAGCGGTATGAACAGCTGGGAAACAACTTTTTGTCACGAATAATAACCGGTGACGAGTCCTGGATTCACTATTATGAACCTGAGACAAAACGGCAGTCTATGGAGTGGAGACATGACACATCCCCACGCCCGAAAAAATTCAAGACCCAGGCATCGGCGGGCAAAGTTATGATCACTGTTTTTTGGGACATTCGTAGAGTGGTGTTGGTCGACTTTCTGGCTAAAGGGTCAACGATCAACTCGGAACAATACATCAACACTCTGAAGAAGCTGAAGGCCCGTATACGCCAAGCAAGACCACATATGAACATGCATGAGGTGTTACTGCAACAAGACAATGCCAGGCCTCACACAAGTCGTCTAACATCGGAAGCCATTGCAAAGATGGGATGGGGTGTCCTTCCTTATCCTGCATACAGTCCAGACCTCGCCCCCTCTGACTCATTTGTTCCGCCCTCTGAAGGATGCTCTACGGGGGCACCATTTTCAATCAGATGATGATGTGAAGACGGCAGTTCGTCGCTGGCTGCATCAACAATATGAAGCTTTCTTTCGCGACCGTATAATGGCACTGCTTCCACGTTGGCGCAAATGTGTTGAACGTAGTGGGGACTATGTGGAAAAATAAGTCTACAGAAATTTTCACACGTTATTGCTAACTATTACTGTGTACTTGCGTTCAGTTGTGATAAATCATTTGTCAGAAAAAAATCGGGAGCATTTCTTTTTGGGTGATCCTCGTAGATTTTATGGGGAAAATCCCTAACATGCATGTCTTACTATGACATGACATGCAGACCGAACTTACTGGGGGGAATTTGGTCCTCATTTGAAAAGTACCACATGCTCTGATGTCCTCTGTACTATTTATACTGTTAAACCCCTCGACGACTGCACCTCTTGCCTACATGTTAGCGATGCTCACGTATGCGCCTCCGTTGCGAAGGGATTAACGTCTGCCTTTCGTTTCCACACATCTCTTTCCTTTTCGAGTGTGCCCGCTTCAGTTCTGCTACCGTAGGCATCCCTATTATCGGTATCGTGAATATCGAAGAATTGAAGGTGATCAGACCAAAACGATTCGAATTGGAATTTATTTTATTATCATGAGAATCATCTCAACTTCCGGTCCCCCACTACTTAAGGCCCTGTACTTGGCGAGTACTCTCCAGCGAGTGGACGAGTGTGCGAGGGCTTACCATTTACTCGCTTCAAACGGCCAGCCATCTGTTTCATGAATGGAGTGTTTACTTTTTTGAGCACCTACGTACGGGTGTCGATAAATATGAAATGTGCAAGGATGGTGGCTGCCCGCAGAAAGTAGAAGTTCACATTTGTCACGGTGGATCTAGTCAACATTGTGATGGCACGTCAACTGTAAAAATGGCAATGCTCAAGAAATGTGGAAATAAATATCTTCGATTCTGTTCAAAATTTTTCGAAGATCCACGAGCCCTTCACTTCATACAGGTATTTAATACACATCAAAAATAGTTTTGCACCACCTCCAGAACTCTACAGTGTGCGCCACATGTTCTTGCCGCGATATTTTTGGTTATAACTTTGCTGTATTTTATCCAAATTCAATCAAAATTTTATCAAACATAACAAACACATATGGCAACAATATACTTTGAGGATTTTTCAAAATGTCCACCGTCGGCTGAGATACAGGCTTTTAAACGCTTTGGAAAGTTGTCCACGATGGCTGTCAGCTGTTCGACCTTAATGTCGTCCCAAGCACTGTGGTCCCAAGTCTTAAGAAAACCCTTCTTCGGCGAATCCACCCTGCCGAAAGGGTCACGTGCCTAGGGGTCCAGAATTGCTCTCAGAAGCCGCAACTGTGGGCAGGTCGCATTTCCCACAGTCGTTGATGGTGTGGGCTATGATTTATGCCACAGGCAAGATTCCTCTGGGTTTTTTTGGAAAAAGGGCTGAAGATCAATGCAGCCGTGTATCAAGACCGCATCCTGAGAGCAGTTCTGGACCCCTAGGCACGTGACCATTTCGGCAAAAATGAATGGACGCTGCAGCAAGGCTGAGCGCCCGCGCACGGAACGAAGACGACGATGGAGCTCTGCGAAGAACTGTTTCCGAATCCGTGGGGGAAGGACGTCTGGTGCTTAAACTCACCAGATCTCAAACCTAGGGATTACGGCGTGTGGTCCATTTTGGAGAAGAAGGCCTGCTCGACACCGCGACACGACATTAAGGTCGAATAGCTGACGGCCATCGTGGACAACTTTCCAAAGCGTTCAAAAGCCTGTATCTCAGCCGACGGTGGACATTTTGAAAAATCCTCATAGCATATTGTTGCCATATGCCATATGTGTTTGTTATGTTTGATAAAATTTTGATTGAATTTGGATAAAATACAGCAAAGTTATAACCAAAAATATCGCGGCAAGAACATGTTGCGCACACTGTAGAGTTCTGGGAGTGGTGCAAAACTTTTTTTTATGTGTGTATAGCCCAACCTCTTCAGTCATGAAATAGCCATAACCAATCGCATACAAATTACGCTTGAAATCGATACTCTCACACCTGGCAAGGTGACGAAGGGATGGAGTCAGCAATTCCTCTGGTGGGATTGTGTTTCTTGGTACCGTTTTCTTCTTTGTTATCCATGGAGCTACCTTCTCTAAGAGTCTCTGAAAGGTTGCTTCGTTCATTCGAAGAAAGCCAGCAACGTGGTTGGGGCTAGACTCTCTTAGGTCCTGCAGTAAATAATTGTGCGCTCCCAGAATAAATCATTTGAAGAGCCAGGGCATCGTCCAAATCCGTCCATTACGCCTCCTCCTCTTCCTGATAATACCATAACCCACTATGAGGCCAGCAGCGACCCCGGCGTTGAACGGCGACTGGTATGGCCGCATCCCAAACTCACCAAACGCTTCGCGTTGACCTCTTCAGCTCCTGACATAGAAGGAGCTGGTTTCCATATTGCCTCGAGGTTCCCTCTTGATTTGTTCTTGCTAGCGAGTACTCGCCTGAAGTTTGAAATCTTCCGAACTCGTAGCGAGTGGAGTGTTACACGAAGCAAGTGACCCTAGCAAATACTCGCCAAGTGCAACAGGGCCTTTACCTTTCCGATCCCGATGCAGGGTATTTTGGACCCCAGGGGCCGGTTTTTTTGTTGTTGTACTGATGCTTCTAGCAGCTTCTCAAAACTAAAAAAAATAATTCGTGCCAAGTTATTCTTCTTCTATCCTATGCATTTTTTTATCGGTCGAATTCACGCGTTTGTTAATTAACCCTTTGAGGAGTATGAACGTACCGGTACGTCCATACTTCCGAAAGATTTAAGAAAACTCGCTCCTCAACGGGATAAAAAAAAAAAAACCTCGCTGGGGATCATCGGATCGCTGGAGCATTGGGATCGGAGGGTTAATCTCATATTCTCCTGTGTTGCCTCATATTGGCACTGAAAGAAAAAAAAAGAAATTCATCCACCTTTGTGTCCCTAGTAACCCTGTACGTCATTCGTTTCTGCGCCTGACTTCATTTCGGGGAGATAAATGTTCCCTTTCAGCGCTCTTGAGCGGAGGGTCATGTTATAGGAGGACCGCGAACGTTGGATTGATCCAACCATTAGGCCCAAAGAAGGGAAAAGAGAAAAAGACAGGAAGAGACAGTGATGGAGGGAACGTGGCATTCCCTCGAGAGGAAAAGGGACAGGGAGAGATCGATGATAGGATGTTCGATTAAGCACTGGCTAATCTCCCTCCTCAAAGGGAGCAACGAGGGAAGAAACTTGTGAAGGGGAGCTGTCGGCCACGTGGTAGTGTCCTAGTTCTGCTCCCTCCGATTGGATTCTCTTCGTTCGTGCTTAGGGCTCTTTTCATCTTCGTTTGTTGCAGGTTTTCTTATTTTTTAGAACTTGGTCTTGCGGCCTTCCGTTAAGATGCA